AAAAGATGTGTGGAAAAAAAAATTTTAATTACAAAAAAAAAGAACAGGCCAGCACCCTGTCCAGGCCCTGCGGGACACGGAAGAGGGGCCTGGTCGGCCTCAGAGCGCTCTGGAATGGCAATGGGGCACCAGAGAAGAACAAAGCCAAGGGCTCTCCCTGACCTCCCACAGCCTGGCAGGTCAGAGGCTCGCAGAAGCTTGTCTTCAATGCAGGAAATATGGAAGCAAGAGAAAAGGAATATTCGGGAAACATACCTGCTAAAGGCAAGAAACTGCAGCACTATTTCGTTGCTTTGGAGGCGATCAGATTGCTCCTTCTGAGGGTTAAATTTGACGGGGTCAGTAGGAGCCACGGTTTCGGCGGGCTGCTTGCTGGCGTCCAGGATCTCAGGGAAGCCGGAGGCCTGCAGCCGCGCCAGGGAGGCTCGCGAGAGCGTCCGCCCGGAGCTGAAAGGGGAAGATCTCCTGAGCCGCAGCCCGGAGGCTCGCCACGAGGCCTGCTGTCGAGGGGGCCTGTGGGCCACTCACCTCCGGGCCTGGGCCTCCAGGACGATGGGCGCGTGCAGGGGGGTGAAAGGCAGCTCGTGCAGCTGCTCAGCCACAGAGGAGGCCGGGACAGACGCCGTCGGGCTCAGGTCAGCTTCCAGGTGAGACAGCCTGCCCCGCCACGGGGCCCTCCTGCCAAACAGCAGAGGCCCCGCGTCAGACGACGGCCCGACCTGCGGGGCCCTGGGAGCTGGGACAGAAGGTTCAGGCCGCGGGATCCTCGGCCCGGCTGCCATCTCATGTCAGGCAAACGGCACAGGGTTTAGTGCACGTCCTGGGCGATCTCTGCAGCCCGGGTACCCCCCATCTCAGCTGAGGGGGAAAGTGACGAAACCAGCACCCGGAGCAGCTGCAAGGGGGGCCCTCGCGGCAGGCCCCAACCCCCTCCAAGGCGGAGGCGCGGCTTGCCAGAGCCAGCGCTGCCGAGTCCCGAGGCCGAGGAGCCCCACGCCGAGTCCCGAGCAGCGGTGGCTTCACAAGGCCGCCCTCCCCAGCCGAGGGCAGCAGTGTCCAGGAGCGAGGGCCGGGCCCCTGCCCATGTGGGCAAACTCTTGCACGCGCCGTGCGGGACGTGCCCACAGGCCAAGCTGCTCAGCTGACCAGCCGCATGGCCGCAGTGCCCAGAGCTGGAGGTGAGGCCCACCCCGCCCACCCGATGCCCGCGTCCCCGAGACCCCGCCAAGGCCCCGTCCCCACCCAGGCCGGCGCAGCTCGCAGCGTCCAGGCCAGCAGGAGAGTCCCACGGGGCCAAGCACTCACCACCTGGGCCGGGGGAGACTCCGGGTGCTGGGGGCGCCGTGAAGGGCGCTGAGCCGGGGACAGCGGGGAAGCCACCAGCTGGGAGAGTGATAACTGCGGGGAAGAAAGTGTGGCTAAGGCAGGAAACGCACCCGGGGCTCCAGGGAGCCCCCGCGTCGGCAGGACTGAGACTCGGCGCCTCCACCAAGCTCTGAGCTGCCACCAGTTCTGCTCACTCTGGCACCTAAACCCTCCGAACTTCCTTTCTGTTCACAGTCAAGAGGCAGGATCCCGTGACCTCTCCTTTCTCACAATATTTGAATAAAAAATGTCACCAAGGAAAAGCAAGCGGAAAAGTGGGGAGCGGGGAAGCAGGTTCCCCGGGCTGCAGGGCAGCTGGCCCAGGAACCCCACTGGGTCTCGCCCCAGCCAGCACCGAGGTCTGAGTCCCTTGGGCCCGGAAGGCCTGTGCTCCTGAGCAGTGACCTTTCAGGAAGGCCGGCTGCCCAGGCCCAGAGACAGAGCTGGGTGGGTGCCCGGGTACTGCCATGCCACCGTGTGCCAGTTATCTGGCCTTGTTTGCCTTGGGACCTGGGTGCAGACAGGCAGGAGGGCAGCGGAGGAGCCCCATCTGCCACCGCAGCCCAGGACCCCTCCCCTCCTGCTTCCAGGACTGCCCTAGCACCTCGAAAGCAAAGAGGACAAGTGGCAGTTTCAAAGATGCAGGGAGGGACTTCCCTGCGTCTTTGCAGGATTCTAGAAAGCTGCATTGTTCAGCTTTTTAAATAGTTGATTTTGGACTTACCCCTGGTCCCACAGGTGAGTCCTGGGGGGCAGCGGGCCCCTGGGGCAGCGGCGTTGGTGGCCTGGGAGAAGCACAAGGGGTGGGGCGCTGTCAGGCTCACCATGGCCTGGGCGCCTCCCCTCCCTCCCTGGCACCTGGTGCCCCGCTTGGGCTGGGCAGGAGTCCTGAGCCAGCCACACCTGCACAGTCTCAAGTTGCACCAGTACCAGCCCGGGCTGACCTGCCTGGACCCACTCCAGCCCCTGGCTAAGCCCTGGTTCGGCCATCATGGTCCAGACTGGCCCATCACACATGCACATGGACCTCAGGACACACTGGACCCCTGATAAGTGGAGGCCTGGCCCCGTCGGTCAGGTCCATGGGCATGACCACCGCCTGTGGCTCTCCCTCCCTGTGGCCTCTGGGCCCAGGTCCCTGCACAGCCACATGGGCCCAGGACAGACGGTGCCACCCCGGGGCCAGGGTGCACAGCACCAGGCGGCACAGCAAGCACCCAGCACCTATGGACCACCCAGTGGCATCCGGGCTGCGACTCAGACACAGCGCTCCGAGCAGAGACACCCAACACCGCCCCTCGGATCGCAGCAAAGGGGAGACAACAGCCGGAAAGACAGCGCCCAGCAAGGACAAGCAGCCCCTCTACCAGCCCCAGGCCCCAGGTCACGTGGCACTGAAGCCCCCAGTCCAGGGCAAAGCAGAGGCAGCCAAGGAAGCCCCCACTCCAGGCCTCGCTGCCCTGCCCAGCAGCTGGGCTCAAACCCCCCTGCGCCCACGTGCTCCTCTGGACACGCCAAGTCTCCTGCAGGACAAGCCAGGGGGCCGCGGAGCCGCATTCGTGGAGGGGCGCTCGGGGGCGGGAGCGAGCATATCAGGGAGCACTTGTGTGCGGAAGGGGTCCCCTCACTGGAAGCAAGAAGCAGAAGCGGGTCCTGCAGGGCCCCATGGTCTGGGGACGTGCCTCCCCCCAGCACAGCCTGCCCAGAACAGCCTGAGGACGAGAGAGAGAGAGCCGGCAGCAGGGGCCCCACTTTGTTCCCCTAAATGGAGACTGGAAACTCCTCAGGCTGATTTTGGTAATGAGGGAAAAATTGCAGGAAATGGCTCCATTATCCTCCTGAAGGAGAAACCCGGCACTCAGGAGCGGGAGCCCCTGGCCCTGGTGTGTGTGGGGAGGGAAGGGGCGGGAGGGGGTAATCCAAGAGGCTCCTCGCTTCCCAGAGCACGTCCCGGGGCTGGGCGCATCTGCAGGAGGCTCTGCTCTGCCCTGCGCACCCACCTCCTAGGCACCACAGCCCAGGAAGGTGCCGGCAGCTTAAGAAGGTTGCACGCCGGGGCCCAGGGAACCCAGACCCGCAGACCCTGTGAGGCCCAGGCCGGGGGAGAGCGCCCTCTGGGGCAGCTGTCAGCGTCCCACGGGTGCTGGTCACCCAGCTTCTCAACCTGGACTGGAGGGCACCACGTCAGGGCCAGCGGGGGCCCTGTAGGGGTGTCTGGATGGGGAGCACGGCCCCCACCCCCAAGAGCTATGGGGCTCAACTGGTGGAGTGTGAGGGGCCAGCCCTTTCTGCACGTGAGCAAGCAGGAGCATTGAGAACTCAACCGTGATTTGAAGGTCATGCTAGGGCATGTCCTGCCAGATCCAGAAATCACTCCTGGCTGGGCCACAGACAGTGGTCAGCAAGGCTGACGGGCCGCCGAGCCAGGCTGCTCCCCAGGCCGCCTGTGCCCCACCCCAGGCTCTGGCCCAGGTGTGCCAGCTGACACTGAAACAGCAGGCATCGCAGCTTTCATGGGGCCAGGGCAGCGGGGGCTGTGGGAGCTGGGGGGCTGGGTCTTGGCCACACAGCTTCAGAGGGCAGGAAGCAGCAGGAGGATGGAGCAGTGGTCTTGCACACCCCCACTCGCTGCTCCACCGTCGGGCCACACTGACTGCATGAGGCCAGAGGCAGCTGACACCCCATCATGCCCCCGTCTGTCTCAACTGGCGGGAAACCACAGTCAGCCGAGAAGGAAGTGCCCGGCCTCTCTAACATCAGGTCAGCTCTGGAAGCGGCGGGCCCAGGAGGCCAGGGGACAGGTCCTGGCCCACCAGCTGGCCACACAGCACCACCCACTGGGCCCGCTCCTACCCGCTCTCTGGGCAGGACCATGCAAACCTGAAGCAGGCCCACGCTCCGGGGCAGGGCCGCTTTGCCTCGTGTCTCAGACGGCACTTGTGGGAGTGGAGGGAGTGGAGGTCTTGCGGAGACCCTGCCAGGGGCAGAGAGGGAGGCCTGGCCACCCCCAGTAGCACTCGAGGAGGCCCTGGGGCCTGGCACCACGCCGGCCTGGCCGCCGCCCCAGACCAGCCCTGGAAGAGGGAAGCGGCCTGAGGCCCCAGCCCCACGTGCAGGCAGCCCTCCTGAGGCGCGGCTGTGCATTCTAGGGGAGACTGAGGAAAGGCGGACGGCAGGCAGGGCCAGGGAGGGGCACCACAGAGGGACACGCTGCCCGGCAGAGCCCGCCCAGGGTTAGCTGAAGGGTCGTACTGCCCAGGAGAAGGTCCTGCGGGGGAGGGCGGGGCTGTGGGCAGTGCTGCTGGGAGGCCCGGGGCTGGCGGGCAGGACCACGGACAGCAGCCGGAGGCTGGGGCAGGCGGCCCGGGCTGAGGACAGTGGGACGCCTCCCTCGCAGACCCTGGCCACAGGGTCAGTCGGCGTGGGCTGCCCACCCGAAGTCACCGTCCCAGACTCTGCTCACGACAACGGGGGACTGAGTCCTTCTGGGACTGGTCTCGGGGTGGGGTGGGGGGCTTGGTCTCCTGCTGAAAGACTTGGAGGCGGCCCAGGAGGCCGGGCGCCTGAGGATCCGGGCCTGGAGCGGTGGGGGGGGGGGGTAGCCCTGCGCACCGGAGCCAGGCCAGGGTGCCCTCGGGGCCGGTGCCTCCCATCCTCCACGACCCCCCTGACCGCACGACCCAAGAGCGCGGGCCGCACAGTGCTGAGGTCACGTCGTGCCAGGACCTCCCTGACGCATCCTGAGGAACACGAGGGTCACGTCTTCCCGGCAACCCTTTCCACACGTAGTTTAAACCACCAAGCGAACAAGCGGAGACTCTCGGCCCCCCACATCCCCAAGCCCGCGCGCACGGTCAGGGACGGCCAGGCGCGAAACCTAGGGGCGGGGCGCCCCCTGGTGGCGCACACGCAGGCGCGCCCGGTCACGCCACAGAAAGAAGAGGCTTCGCGAGGGGCGCGGAGCTCCAGGCTGAAAGCCACAGCCTGGGACGTGAAGGCTTCCAGAGGACCCTTACGAGCCGGTGAAATACTGGCGTCTGCACAGGCCCATCGTCACTTAAACACTGTGGGGACGTAAGTCTCTCGCGCTGGCGTGGGTGGCGCACCCTCACAGGTGGAGCCCGGGCTGACGGGGACGCAGCGCGGGAGGCGAAGGCAGCCACACATCCAAATTCAATAAAGCAAAGGGATCAGGTTCCCTCCACGCTGAGCTGCAGATGCCCGAGCCACAGCAAGAAAGTGGGCGGGGCTGCCGCCCACCTGCCTGGGTGCCACCCCCCAGCCCCCGGCCCGGCCCCCAGCAGCTTGCAGCAGAGCGAGGACCCTCCACAGCGCGGGGCTGCCGCTCCCCTGGGCCTCCACGTGGCGAGTGAGCCCTGGCTGGGCCCAGAGATGCTCGTCTCGGAACAGGTAGGCA